TTTTTTTTTTTTTTTTTTTTTTTTTTTTTTTTTGCAACTGTCAGCTTGCATGAGTTTTGTTGAAGATGTCATCATTTGTTTCTTGATCAATCTGATCATACACTGTCTACCGATAAGCAGCAAAAATAGACCAGTCTTAGCTGTTGCTGTCATTACTACTGTTATTCGTCAAAAAATTGAATAAAGCTCACTAGTGAATAGCTCTTAGAAATTTTCGTTGATATCTTCTCAAGTGGCCATTATCGTTATCGCCGCTTGTCCAACACTTATGTATATGCCAGGTATGCTGAAGAACTCGAGCTGCAGCATCTTCATGTGCTCGAGTTAACCGTGAATCTTCCATAAAATTATTCACGTTGTTTTGTCCTTGCGATAACAGAATCTTTTTTGATATTACAGCTATCATAATTGATGAAACAATTGCGCCCTTAAAATAAATACAGCGTACAAAAGAAACTGAACAAATATAAAAACACTAACTTCTTTTTTCTTTACAGTACTACAAAAAAAAACCAAAAAAAAACACAAAATTATTTCAGTCAACTTATGAAAAAATGCTCACCACTACACCAACAATAATGGCAATAATTCGTCCAACATGTGTATAAGGTACAATATCTCCATAACCGTTTAGCATGAAAGTTATTGCTGAAAAAAAAAAGCAAAAAGTAATTTTAAATTACCAATATTTATGTATACATACCAATTGTGTGTAAGTGTGTTTTCCATTATGTTTTGTCTTACTTTCGCAGAACTACAGATTTCAACTTTTACAACTAGTTTTTTTCATAAATCAAAAAAAAGAAAAAAAAATTTTTGTTTCTTTCTGCTTTATGATTAATTTTAGACATACCAATAAACCACATAGCATTTGAATACAACAATACAGTTTCTTCTTCTCTTCCATACCTAAAAAAACGTTATAATTACCGTCTATAATTATTGCACAACAGAAATCAGTAAACTGTTGAGTTCATTGTTGCTAAGTTCGAAATTCTAAATATTTAGCTATTTCACAATGTTTTTGGCCAATTAGCTATTAAAAAAGCCTGTTTACTATATCTGAAAAAAATGAACAGCTTGAGCACATTAGATACTTGACTTTTTGTTTGCCACAAAAAAATTCATCTATTGCTCTGAGTTTAAGCTTTACATAATTAGTTACTTTTAAATAATCAGCAACATCTAAATTAAGAAACGATAGAAATAATTGCAGAATTTTGAAGTGACAAACAGCAGTGGCAAAATGAGTGATCAAAACTACCTTTCACACTGTACAAATGTCCAGGCAGTAACAACCCAAAAAACCAATGTAAATGCCGTAATGAAAGACAGTGGATGTTGTTGCAGCATTGATTTCATTACAAACGAAAAATTCACTTGTATCCTATTCAATGCTGCCAAAGTACGTGTTGATGCATCCTAAAACAACTGAAGTTACAGATTCTTATAGGCATCTCGTGCTAATTCTGTGCCGCAACAATACTGTACAGTAACACTAAGCCGTTCCAAAAAAAAAAAGCAAAGAATTTTTTACTGTATCAACAAATGCAAATACCTGAAACTGTTTACTGTGAAGTACCATATATCGACCAACTAAGTAAACACGTCCAATCATCAACAACGACAAAATAACATCAACCGGTACATCTTTATGATGAATTTTGTTGCTAACTCGAGTATTCTCCATAAATGTCCAACTTTGTTTTCCCGTATCTGTAAATTTGCAAAAAAAAAAAAAAAAATGCAATTTTTGCAAAGTTGTTTAGGTATGATTAAATTTGATTAATCAAAATAATTATCAGATTGTTTACATTTATACCAACTATTATTATTATTATTATTATTATTATTATTATTATTATCATTATTATTATTATTATAATCAATAGTTGTATCTTGTAAATCTTTTTGTTCAGTGCTCGTCTATCTGTTCTTTTTTTTCATCACTCATACTTTTCCAGCAACATAAATTAGGTTTAAAAACAAAAAAGAAAGATGCTTTTTGCGGCTTTCAAATACAGAAATTTTTTTTTCTGCTGTTACTTTTTTTTTTTGGCTCTACTGAGCCCAAAAGACTTACAGGGTAATGGGCAAACACTACAGAGAGCAATTTCGGTGAAAAATTGTATCACCCGATGCCATGTGATTACCACTCTCCAGTCATCTGCTCCACAATCCACCATTTCTAACTGCAAAAATAAAAATGAAATCGGGAAAGGAGATTTGACTGAGAAACTGATGAAGAATACAAAGGAAAACCCGTTTTTTTTTGCTCATTTGTTTCATTTATATTACCTTTTTTTAATCACTGATATACCATAGAATATCACTATTAACAGTACCAGTATTAATAGCAGTAGCAAAAGCAGCAGAAAAAAAAGGGACACATAAAAGTGCAAACTATAAAATGTGAAAAACGAAAAATAAAGAAAGAAAAAAACAATTTGACGTTTTGTTTATTATGTCCACATCATTTTTTCTTTTACTATTATCATTTTGAATAGACATTAAATAATTTTAAAAAAAAAAATTGCGCATTTTAGCCAGGCCTTCGTTCAAGAAAAAAAAAAAAAAACGAGGAAACAGAGCAGAAAAAATAATGGTGACAACGATAAAAAAAGCGAAAACTACTAAGTATAAAAAGAAAAAAGGCGAGAAAGAAATCTTTTCAACTAACGCTGAATAAAACAGAAACCAAAAAAAAAAATTTTTGTTTTGCTATTTGACAAATTAAAAAACTCAAAATTGTTGTCAACATTGGCCAACAAAATTTATAATAGCAAAAAAAAAAGCAGAAACAAAACAAAAAAAACTTGTCTTTCCGTTTCGAAGAAAAAACAAACAACAACAGCAATCCCCTTCATTTCTAATTTCCGCATAAACGATTACAACAAAAAAACTAAACAGATCACCATCAAATGTAAGTTATCAGTGTAACAACAACAACAAAAAAAAATACCAAATTTATTTCCTACCAATTTGTTTGCAACAAAACAACAACGACAACAAAAAAAAAAGAAATTCAAAAACATCGAAAAACAATGTTTTCTTGTTGCTGGTTAGCATTTTTGTTCAGTAAAAAAAAAAAAGAGAGGAAAACTTAAACGATGTTAAAGTTTGCATAAACATATTCAAAAACTAAAATATGAATTAAAAAAAAAGAAGCAAATAAATTGAAGCTGTCAACAGAGGAAAAAAAAACTGAAATTGGTGAAATGAAAAACAAAAAACAAAAAAAAAAATAAAAGAATCACAACTTCTTTCAATCGCAATTTTCAAATGTGTCAATTTTCCGTTTCCTTTCTCTCCTTTGTTTCCGCTTTCTCCGACAACTTTTTTTATTTTGCATATAGCCTTTTAGCTTTTTTTTTTTTAGTTCCGAAGAACAAACAGTAGGAATCTGAATAAAAACGGCAGAAGAGGAGGGCTTCTACTGCTTTTTGATATACCTTTTTCTGTGGTGGGTTTGCTTATCAATTTTTGATCTCTACCGTACAGAACGGGGCGAGAAACGACAATAAGATACTGTTGCATTACAGTACGCTTCAGTTTTTGGCATATTCCCAAAACTGTTCCTCATCCTTTACTTTCCTCCTCTTCCTCCATTTTTTTTCAGCTTTCTTAATCGCCTTTCTTTATTTTGTTCCCCCTTTCCATGTCTCT